TAATATTAATTTAAATTTATATTTAGCCATGTAATTGTATAGATGGGTACTGCGGGTGGCGACGTTCCTGTACTTCATTAGTTTTCTTGTAAACTATTACAGCATTAGGTTTTAGGTATCATTCCTCGTTACCCCAGGGTTCGGGACTTATATGCAAAGTGAATAAGTGATGTACAAATACGTTTTATAGTACGGGGAACTCAAATATGAAATGTTATTTTGCATATATTGGGGGTTTTTTTTGCATATTTTAGAGGTTTTTTCATTTTTTTTTGTTATACTGACGCATATTTAACTTTTTTTTTTAACGTTTGTTGGATATCATGATTCAAAATGTATTAATTCAAGCTATCTGCATGTCACGAAAATATTGTGTATGATTATATGAACGTGATTTATAAATACTCAATAAATTGAAAACCATCATGTAGTTGTCTGAGATGGTTAATTGAAAAACATCTGATTGAGATTGCGTACTTATCTACATTCTTACATTCGTATCTATCGCTCGGCAAATGATGAAAATACTCTATCTAGTGAGTAGTGATCGATAAACAGCACCGGTGCACATTTTTTTTTCTTCAGAACATTCAAAACCCAATTTTTAATGATTTTATTGTTATTTTTTTAAATTAATTAATTAATAATTTATATTTAAATTCCAATTTTTTTTATATTTATATGAAATAGATCCCTTTTTAATGACTTTTTAAGTGCTTTTTTTTATTTTTAGAGCATATTTTTATGTTTATCTGGTTTTATTTAAGCGCATATTTTAGTGCTTTTTAGTGCTATAAGTCCCGCCCGAACCCTGCTTATTACCTAGTGACATTTTAACGCCTACGCCACACGTTGTTATTTTACTGTACTCATTGCTTCATTCAGTGCTTAATGTATCAATGTTTGAAATTATTTTAACAATAATAAATATTTATTTAAATAATAATTTCTTAAAAAATTAGATTTTTTCAAAATATACCTACTTGATGGAAAAATAAAAATATGAAAGACAGAAATTATTCACGGTACATAATTAGTCTTGATGATATTTTCGTTTGTTAAATATTTTTATTTTTTTTAAATATCGATTAGTATAAAACTTTAGTATTGTACCTACTTCGTATTTCACTTAATTCAAACTTATGTATACCTCAAAACACGAACTAATGCTAAAAAGTTAATTGCTTAAAGGGGAGTTGCAAACATGTTATTAGTATTAATATTTATTTTTTTATATTTTATTATATATTATCATTATACATTCGTGACTACTTAATTTATTATATTAGTTTTGCTAAATCATTTTTATATTATTTATATTATAATATGCATTATAATTATTATGGTATTATTGGTGTATTGTTTTGGTCAGTCTTAGGTGTTCGTAGCAATATTATATTGTTGGTTGCCACAAAATGGAAAGAAATTTGATTAAAAAATATGGGGAAACCTAGGATCCATTTTATAGATTTATAAAATATGATACTTAAATATGCAGAATAATATTAATACCACACTAAATTATTGAACTTTTCCAAGCTCTAGTTGCAGATAATAGATAACTGATAGGTTCTAATGAACAGGAGAATATATTCACCGCTCAAAAGTACCAAATAACTACAAATGCTGTCAGAAAATTTTTTTTTTTAGAAATATACAATCTAAACGATTACACATTTTTACATACATCTAATACGTATTACGTATTTACGTATAATATGTGATCACTAATCTGTTCATTTACATGGCATGCGTACTGCGTAAATAGATAAGTGGACTGTAGAGAGAAACCGTCCGCTTGTACTTATACGGGCCCCTACTTGTATGTACACTGCATGCCTGTATACCAATTTGAATAATATCTAATATACCTTTTATATAATATTATGTTTGTTTCAGTTTTCCTTGATTAACACAAAATATCAACACAGAATAGAAATAATATACATATCAATACATCTTATTTATAATCAACATACACTAATAGTAGGCTCAAATTCATAAAAAATAAATAATGACTCACAGTGTAATTTAGGAAATTGCAGTAGTCCACTTGCATCCCTCTGCAGTAGTCCATGCAGTCAACATAATCATTGTATAAAATATTAAAATGTGATAAATTAATTATATGTTATTGTAATATAATATGTTATATATACAGTGTAAGTAATAATATATCGGTCTGTTATCTGTATTTTATATAAAAAAAAAATGTTAACATTTAATTAAATATGAATTAATTTTTTTAAAATTTTGAGCTTTAGTACCTATGTATCAGTATGTAATTAGCTTCACTTATCCCACAATCGACACAATACCTGCAATATTATTGATTTTATTTAATAATAGTTTATTATAAAATCAATGTTAGGTAATACCTACATATCATGCGTGATAGCCAATAGATATGTATAAAGTTACCGTTCTACTGTAGACTGTAGGTATTATTTATATTAAATATTTAAATGTCTCTATAAATGTTTTTGCTTTGATAAAAATTATAATAAATTAGTATTTGTTACAATTTTGAATTTAAAAACTTAATTAATATGTAATAATTTAATATTATTATAATAGTATATTAGTATATAATATAATTATATACATTAAAAGCATATTAAACGTATACATTTTGGTATAATAATAATGAAATAATCATTAGGTGCCTCCTACTATATATGGCTATAGTATTATAGTAATTCTTATAAATTACAAATTAATGTGTTTTCAGTTTTGGTATTGCATATTTGCAATTTCTAAGTAAATTTTTAATTTACTTACCGACCGGCCATCACCTATGTACCTATAGTATTCCCTAATTGGTACCTATATTATATTAATCTTGAAAATACCTGAACTCTACGTCACTACATATGCAAGATGATATTTTTTTTCAGCTACGTTTGTGTCTATAAAGTATAAAATCATATATAATACATAATATACTAAATTATTATTTATTATTCCAACTAAATTGTAAATGTACATTCAAATTATATTTATTAGTAATTAATAATCATACATATTTAACATTTAAAAATAATATACCCTATGTTTAAGATGGCTAATTATTACACATATAAAAATACTTATTTATTCCTATATCGCATCTCGTTAGAATTTCAGAGCATAAGTATTATAAAATATATAATTATATAATATTTAGTGTTAGGACGTATAATTAGTATTATTCGAGAAGCGAGTATGACTGGTATGTCCGGCAAATGTTATAAATTATAAGGTACCCTAGGTAATTATAGTAGTAAGTACCAGCTTAGATACTTACTACCTATACGGCTATACATATAGGTCTATCATCTGTAGTTAATAATAATAAAATAAAAAAGCATTCTGTAATATTGGAAATTTTGAAATGAAACTAAAATGAACATGGGCCGAGGCTTGATGCGATGATGTGACCTGCTGAAGAAGCGTTCGACGGAGGTTGGTTTCTGGTAGCAAATTGAATCTAGTTGGTACTTTGGCAGGGTTAATATTGAAAATTCTTAGTCCTTTTTAAAATAATCAGGGGAAAAAAATACTAACATTATCACAGCTCGTTATAGTTAAGACGTCTTTATTTATTTCAATTTATTTCTATAAAATATGCCGGTAAAAAATTATTACGTTCAGTCAAAGATCTTAAACATTTAATACAAGGTTCCTCATAAGTATAGTTCATACTGCAACCAAAAAATCACTGATAATTGTATAATTATAGGTATGTAAAACATGCAATGGTTCTTGCAGAAGTGAATTCAAGTTTCAATCTACTATTATTGTTATGTACTACAAATAGTAATAAATATGCTATAGGCTGTCATATCGTCTCCATTCAAAATCGTTTTTCGTATACAAATACAATGATATATCATTGACCATTGTACCTATATATTTTGTATCATTGAATTCAATTTTAAAACATTGATTACAGTGACCTAGGTAGAGATACCTATTTATTCTACATTTACTGTACCCACCTGACCACCTTTATTTAATATATTTTGTATTTTGTACCTCTATAGCCTATATTATAAAATATACTAAAAATAAACATCACACTATTGCAGCTTGTTTAAGAGAAGTGATTCTTAGAAGCTAAGGAAATAGAGAAAAACGTAGGTATGTTTATGATGCTGATGCATCAACAAATTTTATGCCGATGTGCCATAATTGCCTATATTATACACGCCGAGTCACGTATAGATAGATGTAATGGTTGTGTATTAATATTATTATACAAAAATAAACTTTGTTATTATTATGATAGGTAAGCGTATCAATGTGTGTGTCTGCGCGTAATTCGCTATCGGTTATAATTGCCTACCTATTTTATTATTGTAACTTCGAATTTTCCGTCGTACGAGATTAGTCATGACTCATGGGCGCGGCGGCGGCCGTTAAAGCCGGGCGCCGCGCCTGGCGGTGATTTAGCGCCGTCCGCCGCGGTAGCACTGCGCGTCCAACCGGCGGCCCATCCCTTTTCCCGTCCGCCAATCGACGCCGTCCGAACGGCGGCGAGCAGGTAAACAAGATTGCTTTTTTTAATGTACGGTGTACGTAACGGAGGCCCCGCACGCCGCACGACCACAGTCCGCAGTCCGCAGCATTGGTGGCGAGCCGCTCTCCGACGCTCGATCGTCGGTCAATTTTTTTCGATTATTATTATTATTATTATTATTACTTTCTGCGTACGTCACATATTTTTCCGCACGCTGCCGTCGTACGGGTACGACTCGCCGTCGCGATAATATCGATATCGAATCGCAGTATTGTTATTTATCATAATTATTATTGTTGTTGTTGTGGTTGTGGTCGTTCCGAGCGCACCTTTACAGTTTCTACCGTACGGCGCTTGCAGTTTCGCGTTTAATAGAATAAAACGTGATGTGACGGGTCCGGCTACTACCCGAAATGTGCAGTGCGTTCCGCCGCAAGTTTGATTGAACTTTACGGTTCGACCGCGATATCTGTTCCGATCGAAACTTGACCCGACCACCATGTCTGCCGACGGCAAGTGCCCGTTGAGCATTGTGGATATGCTGCTCAACGATACGGCGACGCTGGACGTCTTCGACAAGCCGGTCGCAGACGACGACGCCGAAGTAAGTCGTTACCTACTGTCATACCGACATTTTTTATTTCACGATTCCGTCGCGTCTCACCCGTCGACCGACCGTACTCCTCGCCCATGTGTCAGTGGTTTACGGTCGGAGGGCGGTGTCCTATGGGCAATCGCGCACGTTGGAATCGACTGGAGTCTGATTTGGATTTTTTTTATTTTTACGCAACCCTAGAGAGCCATGAACTGGGACCTAGGCAATGACAATTTCCTCGACTCTCTGCTGAAAATGGAAAACTTAAATGACTCGGCGCCGTTCGAGTTCTTGTCCAGCAACGAAGACTTCATGTCGAGCGCGGCCACCACGCCGAGGTCCTACGACAACGCCGAGAGCAGTTCGTGCTCTGACAGCGGTACGCTTCTTAAACACTTCCTGTTGCCTGATCATTTTCACTTCCTCTGCTATGTGTCCAATCATCACGACGTATAATATGCTTACCCACATTGCCTTGATGATTGTGTGATAAATATGGTCTTCTATAACCACCCACAGATTTCGTTTATTAATTAACAGATTGTATGTCACATTTGAATTGCTTAAAGGTAATATGTGCATAAGACAAATGAAACATATGTTGTATTTCAATTCCATATGTTAAGTTTATACTGTCATTTTTCTCACAAATTAAACCTTTACAATATGTTTAACATTTAAAAATAAATACTTAAGAAATACCTAGATAATTATTAATTGCAAAAATTCGTAGTTCAATATTCCTACATAGTAACCAAAATTAATTATCTAAATAAGCAAAACTAAATGCATTATTAGATTTTTTATTTGAGGTATGTAAGACATTGAAAAGATTCATGCCTTTTCCCTGGGTCTAGTATAATTTTAAATTTATAATATTTTTATTCTTATTAATTAATTAAATAATAAATATTTTTTTTAGTAACTACCTATATCACAATATGATCCAAAAATTTAAATAAAAATTGATTAGGTACACTGGTCTTATAGTACACTTCTGATAAAAGTAAATATGTATAGGACTTTCATCTGTGGATAATATGCCATTCAATCCAATATCAGAATCTTCTAAGTCTGATGATGCCGTGACTAAAATGGAGTTCACATATGATTCTTTCGTCAAAGAGGAAATAGTCGATATTGATGATGAAGTAGTAATTGATGATGACACGACTCAAGAAAACATTGAAGAAACTAATGATAAAGATAATAATATTTTAGAAGAAAACCCTACTATTATTCAACAACCACAATTATTGAAAACTACACCTCGCACAGTAGTTATATCACCAAAACAGTCTAAAGGGCCAATTGCTATTTCTAAAAATTTGTCAAAACCTGTTTTTATACCAATAAATTTATCTAATGTCAAAACAATTAAGGTGAGAAGGGTTTATTTTGTTTTAACCAAATTTGAATATTTATAATTTAAATATATTGTGTAGGTGGTTAATCAGAATGGTAAAACAATCAATGCCGATGCATTCAGACGATTACAGTCCATAAACAATGGAAGAAGAATATTTGTGAGGAATAATGGTTCAATGGTCTCAAAATCCATGCCTGCTTTAAAACAGACCAAAGTTGTGATGTCTGACTGCACAAGTGATGAGTCCGATTCTATGTATCCACGGCTTCATTTATCGAGTAAGTTAATCAATTTAAGCCAGATGTGGATAATAGCTTTTAATTGTTTTATATTTTATTTTTACTTATAGATGAAGAAAGAAAATTAATGGAAAAGGAAGGGATTAAATTGCCATCACATTATCCACTAACAAAACATGAAGAAAGAGATTTAAAGCGAATTCGCCGTAAAATAAGAAACAAAATATCTGCACAAGATTCAAGAAAACGAAAGAAGGAATATGTTGACGGTCTTGAAGAAAGGTTAGAAATAATGAATGCTAATATATTTGATTTAGATTTATAGATTTAATACATTTTAATATAATAAATGTTATATTTTAGAGTTAAACTATGCTCTGATGAAAATAGCAAGCTTCTTAAAAATGTAAACACACTTCAGACTGAAAATGAACGATTGAAAGCTGCTTTAAAACGTTTACAAAATGTTATCGCTCCAGGTGGTACAACAGCACAACCTGCCACATGTCTGTTGGTTCTTATGATGTCATTAGCTTTAATAGCAGCACCTAATTTGAGGCCTACAGTAACTGACGAAAAAGATGTATTGTCTATAGAAGGTCAGGAATCCAATACAGCTGTTCCAGGTTTGTGTTTTTCGTAATAAGTTAGAATATTTTGTTTAAACGGCATATTTTTGGCAATTTTTAGGTCGATCAAGAAACTTGTTATTCTCAAAGTCAGGATCACCCTTGAGCACCACCAATTTGAAGGATATGCTAAATATGGTAGCAAATGGATCATCTGCTGATGGACAAAGTGATACCATTATGGCTGAACTTGGCGAGCTCTTGGATTTTAATAATTTAGCCCGCAATAAAGATCATGATTACTCCAGAACATCAATGGATGATTATTATATTCCTGAGTCTGATGATGGTTGGACCAAAGCTGAAAAACGCCCTGCTCCATCTGAGTGGTTTGATGAGTTAATAACGCCAGCTGTAAAGAGTAAGCTAGATTCCAAGCGTGTGATTCTTCTGTCTAGCGATGAAGAATCTTATTAAACGAGAAAAGAAATTGTATTGGTGAGCGCAACAAGAGTTTTTTACTGTATGTCACTGTTGTACCACTAGTAACATGTTTGTTTTCTAGTGGCATAACAATATCTCGATTCCATTTTTATTTCGTTTCTCTGAACGTATAATTTATCTTAAGGCTCTTCTGTAAACCATACTTTTAGATAAATTTTATTTATAAACCACAAAATTGCTTTTTAACTATTATTGTTTGATATTTAATTATTATATATTTAGTATTAGGGCTATCAACTAGGTAATGGGACACATAAACAATACTAGTTAATTTTATTATTATAAGGAATGTGATTTTTTAAATGTTGGTTTGTGTAATTTTTTTTTCTTAAAAATATATTGTATTATCTTTTGTTGCGTGAATCAAATTTGAATTTTAAGAATTATTCATGAATTGGAGAATTTTTATTCATAATTTTAAACAGGTTATAAATTATTTCCTCTGTTTTTATAATGTCATTGTTGAGAGTAAATTCTTAACCATCAATCTATCAATAAAAATTAAAAAAAAAAATCACTGAATGTATTTGCTATGTACCATATTACTTGGTACAATCTTAAATTAAAAATACTTAATTCATTAATTATAAATCAATTAAAAATAACAATTTACAACTGTCAGTAATAATAAGTATGGTTTATCTTATTTGATCAAGTATCTGTAATGTATGCCCATAATAAACAGTAAAGATTAAGCATTTAAAAAAGAATTTTTAATTTGTCTGCTATGAAAAATATTATTACAATTTAAAGAATGATTCATAGGCACTTCAAAAACGCATTATATACTAATATAATATGTTTATATACACTAATATCTCAGTAAGGTGTCATTGCTAATTTACATTTTAGGGATAAATATAGTGAACTTTTCGTTTTTTTCTGGCATTTTGCCTAATTTTGATTTTTGTGATCCCAGACAAACGTCTTGTTAATCTCGGCCATTCTATTTCTATTAAAATAACGGTGTAGCGCTTAATGGTGCTTACTGCTTGCTAAATATTATTTTCAATTCTAATTTAACTGGATGTTGAACTTATGAAAAGAAAGACATTTCACTGTGAACAAGACATTGTCGTATGCGGTCAAACTGGTTCAATTGTAATTTGTAACCACCACAACCATTTCATTCAGGAACTAACACGCATATATTATGCCGAAGGTTATGTTACAGTGTAAAACCTTTCTAATTCAGTTCGAAATTTGAAAGCGCTGCGAACTTTATATACTCCAAACGTTCCATTTTCTGGGTGACTACGTACAATATTTGATCTTCGAGAATTTCAAGTGTTCCCGGATAAGATTTGACTCACGATTTATACATGCGTCAATGACGTCATCCGTCTTTCACGGCGTGAAGCGGTGGGCGGCCAGACAATCTGATTCAAATACGCCTATCATAATTTAATGTTTCACATTTATGCATTGACCGTAAATAATGTATATACATAATAGATGTGATCGTTTAATTTGAGAATATTATATACATTATACAGACAGTACGTCTTTATAAAATATAAAGGTATACCTCACTGGGTCGAGAATAAATAATAATAATTGCGAAAGTACAAATAAATGGAATACCTAGCAATTAATGTAAACTTTGGTAGGGCCAACTGATGTTCGAGAATTTGTAGATAAATATCTGTCGTGAATCTATTTTTTGGAGCTTAAAAATATTTTCTATTGGGTGCCTATAATTATAAAATAAAAAATTGTTTATGATAATTTTGACCAAATTAAGTGTCGTAGTCGTAGTCTATTATATAGGTATTCATCATGTATTGTTATAGTTTTAATAATTACATAACATTATTGATCCATGTGCGTTTCCGTGACATTTTGATGGTGATAAGACAGCAGTTTTGCTGTCATTCCTATATTTGTTTCTAGTATACGCACGAACAGTATGTTGCGGTAAAATAGTACATGCTCACGTTTTTGTTCAAACAGAAACTTGGTGTGGCATAAAATTGGGATGGATAAATTCGTTTTGTTGATATCGGTTTTCAGAAATTCGCTTTTGGTGGTAGTTGATTTTAGCACGCCGAAAAAAATCTTCCCTTGGCACAATATTAAGTATAAGTACCTATAAGTGGTCTTAATTTATCTGCACTTTTACCATAATCGCGGCGACCGCATGATATATTATTATTATTATTTTTTACTATACACGACGTGCATTATATTGGTATAATAAACTAATAATAAATTATAATGCTCGCCAAAAACCGTCTGCAGTACGTTTTTCGATTCCGTCTTAGGTTAGGCGTTAAATTCCGCTACGCATTTTATCGACATTTCCACGATGTAGGTAAACTGCATTAAAAAAAAATGTATATATTATTTACACCTCCGTCACCCCCTCGCCAAAGTCGGGTGTGCAGGCCGCGGCAGTGTGCTATTATACCGTTATGTCGAAGTTATGGGAATACGATTCGTGTTTTTTGTTTTTTTTTTGTTAGTTTTTTAATTCGTTTCGACCGGTCGCCGCCGTGTCGTACGCTGGCCAATTATACTCCGAACCGGTTTGCACCGCCACCTCCACCACCTCCGCAGGACCAGCGATCTCCGATGCTGGCGCATATAGAAAGCCCGAGCCATTCGCTCGGGCTGCTGGAACGTTAGACGTTCTTTACTCTTTATTATAGTTCAGTAAGTACCTATATATAATAATATACGCATGTACCGTTACACGGACGGTTGTATATTGAGACCGAAGAAAACTTTCGCGGCGCGTCGATTTTAACGTCGTTTTCGACGGACGTTTTCAATAACACTCACACCCGCCCATAATAATACTATCTGCGCCGGTCGTCGTGTATTATAATGATGTGTTTGTGTTACGTGCGCCACCCGGACAAACGATTATATGCTGGGTAGCGACCAAAAAAAAACTTGATTTTTTGATCGTCTGCAATCATAATAGTATCGTAATATTATTAATAATTATTAATTATTATATACAGGGTGTCGTATATCACATTATATACATCACCCTGTATAATAACGAATAAAGCCCTCGTTACTTCCTTCTATATCCAAGATAATACTATACGCGGCCATGCAGGGTCTTCCAAATGTTGTGTGACAAAAACTGCGGAATCACTAAACAACCATCATTATAATACCCACCATTTTTGTCACACACAATTTGGAAGACCCTGTACCGCGTAAGATAATATGTCATACCTATGTGTGCGCTAGTAGCTACCTATATAGACGCTATAGCTGCTGGTCGTATGGTTTTTTTTACTATTCATTTAACCTACCTACGGATCGATAAAATGGAATTTTAAAACACATAATAAATACCTACGTATTTTATTATTTTTGCGACACTTTAAAATTTCTTATGCACGCAGTTGTACCAACATAACAACCATATCGACTTGATTTTTTAAAATATAGTACATGTTAATGGTCGATCATCGATTTTGGGTCTCTACTTTATTAAATAATATAATGTGGTCTATGACAGTATGACACTAAACAGTTTTGAAAATTCATCAATGTGTTTAAATGAAAATAATTGCATGGAATTCATTAAACTAATAAGCTACATTTTCTTTTTATACAATAATTTCTGTGTGTAGGTTCTACGAGCTTATTAAATCGGAATTCGGAATAATCTACCAAAGAAGCACATGCATGAATAGGCACTTACATTCAATTAATAAATATTTGTAGTATGGATTCGGCTACACAAAAATATCTATTCCAATATAATTTTTATTGAAATACTATTTTCGAATTTTCCAAACTGTTTAGAGTGATACTTAAGATTTTGATGAAGTATAGTATTTACTATTAAATAGTAAGTAATATCAAACCGTCACGACTGACGAGTTCGCGACGATGCCACAACGCCACTTCGCGCACCGTTGCCTATTATGCTGCAAATGGTGAATTGTTTATTTGTTATATTGTGTTGAATTTATACTGAATAGAGATAGAGTGCATTATATTATATAATGTATAAAAATATAATGTGTTACGGGCAATGTGCACATTACCTGGGCAATTTGAATCGCCAATACTAACAAATAGGTTTTTGTGCAATATAATATAGGTACTTCGTATTAAATGTACTATTATATCTACTAATAATTATATAAAACTGATGGCAAAAACAACAAAAAAAAAATTATATTATTACCTATTTATTACATTCTGAATATTTTAAAACAATTATATAATAATGATAGTAATTCATAGTTATATCTTATATACTCATAATATTGATGGCACAAAGCCACAATGTGATATAAGTCGATGAGTTATTATTTATTATTTTATTAAGATTATTCAGAATTTTATCATTATCTATTTAATGTACGTGATTTACTAGAAGGGCTCTTAGAATTTCAACGTCTATCTGTTTTTCTGCACTTGCATTGTTTATTTGTTTTGTATAATTGCGTTCAAGTGCGTCGATCATTCATCAGTATAATAGAAATTATTATGATTGTTTCAAAATATCCAGAATATAATAAACTTGTAACAATTAATAATAATATATTGAAATAAATAATGCACCAAAAATTTGTTTGTATTCACGTTGCGAATCAAATCGCATTCGGCTTGCGGACACATATTTTTATCCGGCTTGTAGGCAAGAAATAAAAAATACAAACAGTAGTTATAACCAATACGTTCTTTTTCAGAAGTCTTCAAACTTTTTTTTTCAAAGACCACATGAAATATCAAAATATTTTAGTGGGTTACAAGTGCGTAAACACATACAATTTTTAAATTGATAAAAATACGTGTTTTTATAAATATTTAAAAAAATAGTTCTTATAATAAACTTAAATACACTCATAACTATATAATTATGACACAGGTGATAATTGACACGTGAGCGAGATGACGATTTTGGATATTACACATATTTTTTAATTATTTTCTACCTTTAGGGGTGGGGGGACTTGTTCGAGGGACTGTAATTTGGCGACCTCTGTTCTAGTGTATTGTAATTTTTCATTTTTGTTCGTTGGTTTTTACTGACGTCAGCGATTTTGATAGCCCGTGAACAGTTTTTGAGATTCCTATAATGTGGGCCTTCAAAAATATTAATTGTTGACCCCTACAGTGCCATATATTCAGCATATTGTCGTCCGTAACATATAATAAACACACGCAAAGCTGTCTGCCAGAGGTATAACAATTCTTTTTTTTGTGCATACATAGGTAGTGTAATACTGGCACATTATTGTTGTGTGCAAAACTTTCGAGTGTGTCCCCGTATTATTATAATATAAAGGATAATATAAGTATATACATAGGTTTATATGGGTGTTATATATATAGAACGTTCGGTTATTATTGAACACGGATAAATTCTCCTCCTTCAGGTGGTCTTTACCGAAACTTCTTATCCTTTTAAAGTTTTATGCGCTTTTAGCAATGATGCATATATAAAATATATATATTTGTACGTATATCGTATACATATATATATATTATATACATATCGAAATAACGAGCAAACACGATATTCCATATATACATGTATATACACTGCGCGTTTTGTGTTTTCTGGAGGATTTCAATTTATTTTCCAAAAGTTTTTCTTAATTCTCTTGAATGGAAAAGAGTTTGCTCGGAAGCCCGATTTTTTAACGAGTAAACATCGGTTTGTCCCTTCACTATATCGCTCTGTGCTGCAAACGTAATAACGGTAATAATTAACTGTAAAAAAGGC